GGATTCCTGCCCCATCCCCAGGGGCTAGGGCGGGGCCCCAAAGGGAACATTTACCAATATTTTCAAATTCTTATCCATTGATGACATGACAAGTATTGTATTTCACTTAGTTTACATGCTGATTTCCACATCACATCTAAACAATAAAATAAAGCTACCAGTACCTATGATATAACTCAGGTGACCGCTAAGGCCCTTGGGCCTCTTGTTCAGGTAGTTCGATCATTTTGAAATTATCTCAAGAAATGTTGCAGAAAAGTATTAACATACCAAATATCGTTTCTAGTGGCACTGTTGTTAAGCTACTTGTTTCTTTATCATCAAGAAGTCAAAGATTCAATCCTTATAGCAGAGCCAAGATGTATTTGTAAAAAAGAAAACAATGATAAATGTATTACAGCACTGGGACACTTAACACCAGGATATTCTCTTCCAAATTATTTCAGAAATTATCTCTGCTGTATTATTCAAACATCAAAGCTCACTGGCTGACTACATGCATGAATTCTATCATTTAAATGAATTGTTTTGAAAGATTTAAGAAGACTTTTTCTATTGGAATAATCTGTTGGGGGTGGGGGAATCAAACCATTTAATTTTGGTAGAGATGAAATAATGGGAGCACAATTAACAAACAACTGGATAAAGTTTTCACTTACCAAAAGAGAAAGTAACATTAATACTATTTTCAGATAAAGCTTCATCATTATCCAATGATTCATGTATGAATTGTGCACGTTGCTGTCTTACATGATTACATGAGGCATTCATCTTACTGTTTTTTTTTCCAGATTTCTACATTTGCCACTGTTTTGTGCCGAAAGAGCATGGTTTTATGCTATGCAGTTAAAAGCGGAAGCCAACACAGAGCCTCGAAAGCGCTTTCATATGATGTCACGCATAAGGAAGGCAGTTGCCTACGCAGAGGAGTTTCAGGAATTATGCAAAAGTCCAAAATGTGATGCTAGAACCAAATTAGAATGCCAGGTCTGTTCTCTTGCACAAACTCTGAATATTCAAAGTTTTGTGATTTAAATGTACATGTGTATCCCATAACTGCTATTCATCACGCTTGGTCCATTAGCTATTGTTAGTCATCATAAACTCTGATAATAAAGGTTACCGAAATAGTTTACTGAATTTCCATCTATCTGTAGGAAGACATGATATGGTCTGGACCTCTATGAAGAAATTACTTTACCAATTTTAATGAAAATCTCACCAAGCATATGAACCTATACATATTTAACCACTGTGTTGTTTCAACTATTTCCAAGAGTTACACCTGTGATAAACTTTGCTCACGTCCTACCCACTTTCCCAAAATGAAGAAAACTGAAGAATATCTTCTCAGTATCAATAAAAATAATGCTACATTTTCCTAATTCATGCAGGAACATATTCTGCGAGTTTAAGTAGAAAAACACTGCCATCACATAAGTTTGCAAAACTATAAAGACAGTTTTGTTCCTTGGTTTACTTAGCCAAACAAAGCCTTGTCATGTCTGCCACACAAGTATATGATATATTTTCTTGCATATAAGTAACTCATTATAAACTATTACACCCTCAATGCCTCTAATATGGAAAATGATGCTGCGCTTTAGAACGATATACACGATTATCATCAAATCTGAAAAAAATGTAGCCATATGTCAACTTGGAGATTGTAAAGCGAGCCCTGGCTATGGTATACTAGGAAGATCCCTATTAATGATATTGTGGTATGCACACCTCCATATCGATCCATTTAAAAGACAGTAATCATGAAAATGTTTCAAAATTTGGTGAATCAAAATAAAATTGCCTGTTTTCTTTCTTTAGGGATATGTCGTGTGGATGAAGGCTGGGTTGCAATTTGAGAGTGAAAACTGGGCCAGTGCCATTGAACACTACACAGAAGCAAAGTAAGTTTGTATTGTATTGGTGAATCAGTTCTGAGATACGGATATAGAATTAAAGTATAAGTTTCATGTTAGTATAAGGGCATCCATTCAGCCTTTTCATTATAAAAATATAACTATTAACACCATATTTTGTGGCAAATAAATATACTGTATGCCGGGAAACTTTCGCCTAAATAAACTTTAGTCCTTCACTGGTAAGTTCATATTTGCCCCGAGTTAATTTTACTCTTCACATGGAATTACTATGTTAACTAAAATATATTGTAACTATTATTACTGTCATGCTTAATTTGCCCCCTTTAGGGAGAGTGTAACAGGCGGAAATTAAACTGCAGCAAAAACTTTCCAGCATACAGTTTACATTTGTTTGTACTTTCTCCTTTTAGAGATAATTTAAAGAATTATAATAGGTTTATCTCCTGTCATATTCCATCATCACTAACATATGTTAATGTTGTGTCTACAGGACAATATATGAGAAGTTGGCCAGTGCATTCACAGAGGAACTACAGTCTGTCTACCTACAACAGGTGGAGGAAGTGACACCTAACATACGCTACTGCGCCTACAACATCGGTGACGAGTCCGCCATCTCAGAACTCAAACAGATGAGACGCAAGGGAGGAGAGAATCAGTTCACTTCTCATCTGGATGTAAGTATTTAGTTATATATAGAAGCTGTCTTCGATGTATTTGTTAATGTTCTAGTTTCATACAATTGAAAACACCCTTGTCACACTTGCTTTAGAGCTCAAGTGATATGACTTACTATGACAACGTAAATTGATAATAAACCGATGTCACACACTTAATACAGATTCTACTATGACCTCAGAATGGAGGCAACATTAAAAAAAAAAACTTTTGGTGTGATAAAAAGGATCTTGAATTTGTTGCTGATTTATTTCAGTCTTATTTCATTATTCCCAAGTAAAATGGAATCTCACGTATAAAGATCGATGATATGATAAGACTCTTTGTACATATCAAACACAGTTTGCCATGAATCTGGAGTCAAACATGTCTACCAGCACACCTGGGCCCGTATTCATGAAACCGTTCTCATGCTCAAGTATGGAATTTGTGCTCAAGCTGAATTTCTTGTTCTACTTATAAATTCATAGACAAATCTTATTTTTTCAATGATTTGGAAAAACATTTAAGAGACTTAAAGCCGACAACTGTTTTCAATGTTTACATTTGACTTTTTGATCATTTGACAAGATTTAAGCGAGTTACAAGAAACTAGGTTCAAGCACAGAATCCATGCTTGAGCATGAGAACGGTTTTATGAATACTGACCCTGGTTTTAGCAATAGCAAATGCTAAAGCCATATGTCTTGGCTGGTACCATATCTTATTAAAAGTGATTCCCTGCCCCCATATTCTGTCTCTGGAACAGCGCTTACATATGATTATGAATTATTGTATTTTAAGAATCAGTGTTTTAAGAAAGATCATCTATTGATTTTTTTTGCTTTGAAATTAAATAACGGGGGGTGACTGCTTTTCTTCTTCTTCAGGATTTGCTGTCTCAAACCAGAGAGAAGCAGGCAGCCACTCTCTCGGAGTTTCCATGGCGGGGACGCACAGTACCTGTAAAAAGTGAGCCTGTTCGTCTGTTCCTGCTTAACCTACAGGAGAGCATCAAGGAGATTGAGAGTGCAGAGAGCACTGACAGTAAAGTGTCAATCTACGAGAGTTTGCTGAAGCAGTGTATTGATGCTCAGCAAGTCCTCCGTGATGCCTTACAGGAAGACGCTGTAAGTAACATTACTGATGTGCCTGTCTGATGTTAAGTCTTGTGTGTACTGGGTACATTATTACCCATGGTGAAACCTTCACAGTTATAAATTGTTTCTCCTTTCAAATTATATTGATATACTATTTCATTGTTTAATATTCTATACTTGTAAACTTCAGTTCGTTGTTAGTTCCTGTAAACTTCAATGCATCCAAGCTGGTACATGTAAAAGTTGAGTTCATTGTCAATTAGTATGTGTAAACTTCAATTAATTGTTACTTGTTGTTTGTAAATTTTAGTACATTGTCAGTTGGTAATTGCAAGCCTTAGCACATTGTCAGTCAATAGGTGTGGCTTCAATACATGTAATTGTAAAATCTAGTTAGTTAAGTTGAACATATATTTACTGTACTTATTCACTGTTTAATTGTATCAAAGAGAACTGCAAATGTTAGTGATACAAACAACAGTAGGCAATTTTTTTCTTAAAATTTCATCTTTTAACCATTGGTAACATCATAAAGATTGGCATATTCTTTCTGTGACAGAACTTTAAATCAGCCATCCGAGGACAGCCGATAGAAGGGAAGATATCTAATCAACATTACCTTCACACCTATCTCACCTATACACGGCTCACCAAGACAGTAGAACGTAACCTGCTTCTTATAGAATCACTAAAAAACTACCTACCTTGGAAACAGGTACAGGAAGGTAGAAAGATCACCAAACCTCAGGATTTAGTCAGGTTGTACGACATAATGATACAGGTAGGTCTGAACTTCAACTCCATCACACATTGTTTTCCTACTTCATTATCTCATTCACCCCTACATTTTTAACCTGAAATTGCTCTTTCTTTGATTTGGTAAAGTTTGAATATGACTTTGGGGGTGAAAGGTTTAATGGAACGTGTCCATTTCTTAATAATTCTGTTAGTCATTCATCGGAATTCTATTGTATGCAATCGAAAAGGAATTACAGTAAAATTTGAAAAAAATGTCTTGTCAAATTTACAAAAATGGCAGAACTAAAATTATTATAACCACCCTGTTATCAATGTCATTACACCAATTACATACATAAATTTAATATCTAGAGTTTATATTTGTCTATAAATTTGTTTGTTTACTCTTGTTTTACAGAATCTTTCAGAAATTCCAGGTTTACCTGGTCTAGAAGAGGAATCATCACTAGAGGAAGAAATGGAAGCCAGGATATTAGGTTTTAAAGCATTTAGGTAAATGTTAGTGTACAAAATAAAAAAGCATCCAAAGGATTGTTTTACAATGTAATATGTAGTTCTAAAAAAGGTCTCCAGAAAGTGATATACTGTTTACTACTTGGTTGATAACTTCATAAATTCTTAACAAATTTTTATAAGCCATATATCTTGCTCACTTCATTCCAGAATATGGTCCAAGGTCCAAGGTCCTGAGCCTAAAGTTCTAACATAAAGAGTAAAATTACCCTTTCCCACGCACCTACAGTACCTAATGTTTTGATATTTTTTCCCCACCTCTTTCCTGGGAATCATTGTCCAGTAATTGTATAAGTAATAATTTAAGTTTATCAAATAAATTAAAACAACACATATTTTTTTTTTAAATTTCAGGTCATATTATATAGCTCAGTCATATGTTGGAGCCAAGAAGTGGACAGAAGCTATCGCATTGATGGAGAGATGTCTTACATACATAAGTTCCTCTAGGGATAGTTACAAGAAATTACCGAAGACAACGGCAATACTGTACAAGGTAAGTTTGTACAGTATTATGTTACAGTGGAAGACTAGAAAAAGATGTGCTTTAAGGGAATCAGATAATTTACCTATATTACAACTTTGATACTTCAGTAAAGTAATAATTCATTGATAGTTTTAAATGAAAGAATATAAAAATTTGTAAAAATATAAATGTATCTCTTTCGAATGAACTTTTAAATACCTATAGTACAACAAGAAACATTATGTTCAATTGGTTTTGTGGTTTAATCTAAACATATGAATATGTGTAGGTTTTCACATCTTTGTGAGCTTGTTTTGTTGAATGACTACAGGGCGAGATGGATAGTTTAGGAGACGTAGAAAAGCTAGTGGAAGGAGAGAAGTATTCCTGTCACGCCAGAAGTATATTGGACGTCAATGATGTTGCTGACCAATTTAGTACGATGTCTTTTAATTCTAAAACGGTAAGTCTACAAAATATTCACCTGTGTATTACGGTTATTTGACTACATATAATTGAGATGCTGTGTTGCATGAACCAGTTTTGGTAAATCCTTGTTTGAAGTTTTACATTCACAAACAATTTTATTGAGATAAGAATTTAATCACTGTTTAGCTCACCTGGTAAGTAGGAGAAAAGTGAGCCCATACCATACCAAATTGCTTGTCAAGAATTTCTTTGAAAATTTCTTCATAATTTCTGAAAAGAATTCTTTCTTATATGGTGGGGATTTAAAATTGTACTAATGAAGGGGATGATCCACACCTTCATTTGGTCATTTTGTTTTAAATATGTGATTGATATCAACCATATTTTGTTGTTAGCATTCTCAGTTTGTTATGATTGTTTAAAAATGCACAAATAAAGGGGATGACCATCCAAGGTGCAAAGAAGTAGAGTCAGAAAAGGGTAATTTTGCCATATTTCTTTAAGGGCTATTCCATTAAAATACCCCACCACCACCACCCCGGAAGGCACTTTCTTTCAGGGGGACCACTCACAGAAGTATTTTTTCCAGGAGGTACATGGCATAGAACTATATTTTTGGGTTTTAGGACCACCCATAGAAGCAATATATTTCTATTAATTCGTATATTCAAGTCTTGTTGCATCATCCAAATTATATAAATATATATATTGCATCAGTGTCAATTTCAAATGATGTATAGCACAGTAATACTGGTAGCTGTAATCAAATTGTCAATACAAAAGAAACGTGTTATAACTCTGATCGTGTTTTGTTTTAAAATTACCAAAAGCTTTACATGCACCCGACTTTCACCATTTTATAAACTGACGACTTTTCAACTGTAAACTATCAGCCAAAAACCAGACCTGCTGTTCTGAGTCCAAATAAGAGGCAAGAAACACCTACATTTCCATATATTTATATCATAAATTGCGAACTACCTATACGTGGAAAAGTTGACCGACACACGTGGTCGTTGACATTTGGGTAATCATATACTCAGTTGGTTTCATCGTGATTTATACTTCGGCTTATTGCAGATTGAGTCAATTTTTGAATGATAAATCTATTATATTCATGAAAAATTCGAGTTGTACCTCTAAATTTCCCTGTTACGGTCCCTAACTGGAAAGCTTTGAGTGTGGAACAGGTCTGCGGCTGACTCCCAGCCCTGTTCCACACTCCAAGCTTTCCAGTCCGCCTCTTCTTTTGAAAGCCCCGTATGTAATGTAAGCATTATCTCCCCTTAACCATTTGAGACAGTCGCGATCGTGAAGTGAGCGTTGCCCGAAATTGAAGGGGAAAAAAATGACAGAACACGTCATAAAAAAAGACTAACACATGCTTTCTTCCCAGGTTAGCTGTAGGTTTAATGTACTGCAACTATGAGAGAAATTTTATATAAAATGAAGGATAATAATAGACCATAAATGGAAGTGATTTTCTCCAGATCAGCATGTGGTACAGACCCCAACCATGCACAGAAGTTCTATATTTTGCCCTCCGGGGGGTAGGGTATGTTTAAATGGAATGGCCCTAAGCTTCTTCAACGCTAGAACTATAGGATTGATATCAACCATATATTGGTTGGAAGCAATCTCGGGTGGTGATGATACAAAAATACCTGTTTCCTGTAACCATATTATTACCTGTATGCTTGTAATTGGTATGAAGAGAACAACACAATCATGCTATCAGGGATTAACTTCAGAGTCTTGCTCAATCTGTCTGGAGTAAGTACCTGGGTCATAACATTGAGATTCCCACTCTGTATTCATATACAAACATGTGTACAGTTGCTTAGCGTGAAGAAACAAATACGCTCACTGTGCCCTGATTTACTTCCTGGTCCTACAAGCTGTTGGGAATTTGGTCCTTTTGAGGTTGAGTTACTCTATAACCATAAAATTGTTTGCTGAGCATAAAAACATGACCACAATGATGCTACCAGAATTAGCCTTTTGAGTGTAGCTCACTCCTGGAGGCTTGAAATATTTACTTTTAATGAGAATAATTTGCTGTGATTGTGTAAATATCCAGGCCAAATGATACAGGCCATTTGCGCCTCTTTTAAGTTATCTTGTTTGTTAATTATGTTGTATGAAAACATATTTGTCATATTCGGGATTCAGTTGTAACATTAAATTTGTAAGGGGATGTAAAAACATGACAACTATATTTTTCAAAAGCCCCCCAAAACAATACTGATTCAATCTAATAGCAATTGTATATGTTGTTACATGTAGGTCTTTCATGGGGCATTTTCCCTATACATATATACCATAAGTAATTGATTCTTCGTACATACAAAAATATATATACTGTAATGATGATTTTGTACATATTGATAATTTGTATTTATTTAATATCATCATCTCTTTTTACAGTTGTTGATTTCTATATTTCCTGTTCTACTGCAGTACTGTCTTTACTTAACACTTTACCCATTTATAACTTGTTTACTTCTGACCATTTGAAAACTTTGTTTACTTCAGCCTCTGGCAGACCGCCTTGACCAGTATGTAAATGACAAGTCACTGACCAGTAAGAAACCCAACGTAACTTCCTTCCCACCAGACTTTGAACCAATTCCATGTCGGCCACTGTTTTTCGACCTTGCTCTGAACAACCTGGAGTTCCCGTCCCTGGAGGACAAAGTGGAACAGAAGAAGGCTGGTAGCGGTATCACTGGTATGGTGAAGGGCTGGCTGTGGGGTGGCGGCAAGAAGTGAACCTCACAGTGATGATGAACAGTTTCTTCTGGAGATTGTGAAATGTTAAATATGTGTTAACTTCAAATGCGTGGATTTAAAAACTCTAATATAAAGAGCTGATGTATATTTACAACAGAGTTTTTTTCTTCCTTTTTAGTGAAAATAGATTTTTTTTAACTTTGCTTCTGATTCTGTAATTATGATTAAAAGTACTTTGTAATTATTATGGAAATGGACACATTTAAAGAAATGCATTATCTGTTATTTGATGAGACCAAGAATGCTACCTAAAGACATGAGTTTCCAGATAGGCAGAATGGTGCACAATTATGTAATATAAATTAAAATGATTTGAAAGGGGACTAAACTCTGGAAGTCTTGTGTTGTTGTATAGTATTTGACTTGTATGACTATTTGAAGGATGATGAGTTTTAATGGAGCATTACAATTATATGCTTTACCACTGACACTGAAGGAAATTATACTACGCTGTACCATAATGTCACATTATTTATTTAATAGCAATCATTTGATAAAAAAGCTATGCAAGTCAGATGATAAAAAAAACTTCTTAAGCATTTGATTTGTAGGAATTTTTATTTCTGACATAAATTTTGAAAGGAAATTTAAATGTTAACATTACTTATTTCCTTTCAAAATTAATGTCATAACCTGACTTTAATTTTTTGCACTTTCCCTTCTAAGCTCTGAAGAGTCGAGTACATACTGCTGTGTTGTCACGGAAGGTGTTGTAATTGAGTAGATAAATTGATTTTCTACTTGACAGTAATGAGGTATCCCATGACTTCTTTTATTAAATTGTAATACCAACATTACAGTCAGATGGACTGTACTTTATACATTTAACCCCACTATGAAACAATTTCTATATTTTCCAAATATACATAATAGACGGTATTACCGCCTATGATTCATTGATTGATTTCTGTTCACACCTTATTTCCTTGTTGGGTGACATTTGGCAGAATTCTTCTTTACATGATTGAATAGAATGTTCCACAACTCTGTTTTACTATTTTCTCCCTATTTTCAATTATTTTGTTAATCCAAACATTTTTTGTAGTCCAAAGCATTTGTTATATGCAATATCTGTTGTCTATAACATATAAAATCTCCCAAGGTTGTAGCTGCCAATAGCAATAATTTCGTAGGGAAGTATTGGTTAATTAAAATATATACTTTGTAGGGCAGTTTGAGCTTTTTCGATGCATCATTATATGAAGTCTCATTTAACTCTCGTTCGCATGTCATTTTATAGAAAGATGATATTTTGCTGACTTGAAATGGAAAAGTTATAAATTTTTAGTTATTTCTACTGCAGCTTTTAGATCAGATATCTTCATCATTATTCATTCTAGAAGACTAATATTTCATTTAATATTGACATTTCTAGGTATAGTTGGAAAAATGGCCCTAGTGTCAAGGAGCAAAAATAAAACACTGTTTTATATGTTATGAAAGATAATGCTTTTATTTCCTTCAGGAACAAATTCAATCAAAATATGCATTAATTTTAGCTTATGATCAAATACATAATTTAAATATTCTAACTCTATAAATCATTATTTCCTTCAGAAACCCTTAATTATAAGTCTGTTTTCAAAGAATGAACCATCATCTTGAAGGATTTACTTTCAGTTTATTTGATTTGATTTCTTGGAAAACTACAATTAAACCTATAACTATTTGATTATAAGCAAAGCAGATTATGAAAATTTGAACGAGTTAAGTTGTGGTTATCGTTCGATAATCTTAACAGGATTAGAATTTAATCCTTATAATTAAGGTCATACGAGGCATTGATTACAAGGCTCTATAGGAAATGGTTGGTTTATTGTGCACATATGTCAGATGCAATCACTTCCTTTCTGTTTGATATAAATGTAACTTACATGTCAGAAGGTCACGATTGCTTCTCTGTAATCTGGAAAATGGATGTTAAATTAAATTGTTTCGATAATATTGAAACGGAGCGCAAACTCAATCAGGTGGAAATCTGAAACATCAGTAAAACGATTTTAAGCATTATACCTATATTAACAACCTCGCAACTCGTGTAACACTCGTACCCACTACAAACAGTCTGACAAATAACAATGGCAGTCCTCATGCAGATATATTTCACCTGAAGTCTTCACTATGTTTACGGTTGCGACAACATAGATGCTTAATAAACATGTTCAATATTTGTTTTATGAACAACTCGTAGAGAAAAAAATATTCTTTCAAGATGTTGAAAAAATACTTCAGCAGAAGAACTATTGTTAACCTTTTCACCCCAATGTAACTTTAGTAGACTCCACCATGCATTGATCTGGATGAGTCCATTATGGTCTACAGTGGAAAAAAAGGGTTAAGTCTCGAATTATGTTTTTCGATGTGCTGCAGAAATACAACAAGTGTCAATTGAATCAATTACAACTCAGTAAGCCGCTTCCAATCATTTCCATTTCAAACTTTATAGCATAAGTATGATGGTAAGCTGAATGCTGAAAATGTGTAGAAAACAAACAACTTTTGAGGTGGAGTGGCTGTAGATGTAAATATTATACATTAGTTTACATGTAACAATCTATAACTATGACCAACTCTCTCTTCCATGGGTGTTATATCATAAGCAAATGTCGGAAATCAGGCATAATAAAATAACGGGATTGCACTGGTGTTTTTGGTGTACTTTTTGGTATGCATACAACTTGCACAGGAATAGTTCCATGACTTTCAATATGCATAGCCAATTGACTTGTACACATGGTTTCCTGACTTATATATTTGTCTTCAACTTGTAAAACATAATACTATGACTTATGCATCAATCTCACGCATGTGTTTTCTGCTATATATACACGTGTTGTTTTAAGGTCAATACAGGTGTGGTTCCCTGCTATATACAAATGTTCATGTATCACTCCCTGGTTTATGCATGCATGGTTCTCTGTGTTTATATACGTATGGTTCCTTGCTATATTGATGTATGGTTCCTTGGTTTATATACGTATGGTTCTCTGCTATATTAATGTATGGTTCCTTGGTTAATATACATATGGTTCCCTGCTATATTGATGTATGGTTCCTTGGTTTATATACGTATGGTTCTCTTGCTATATTAATGGATGGTTCCTTGGTTTATATACGTATGGTTCCCTGGTACATACATGTGCAATTCCCTGATTTATTCAATTATTGTTCCTTGGCTTTATACAAATGTGGATCTGTGGTTTATAAATGTATTGCTGTCTTTTATACCTGTGCAGTTCCCCAGTTTATACACGCGTGATTCTCTGACTATACACGTGAGGTTAATGAGTACATGCCGAGTTACACATTTGGTTCCCATCCTTATAGCCTGCAAGATTCTCTGGGTTTTATACATGTGTGGATCCGTGGTTATACATGTGTGGTTCCCCAGTTTATATGTGTGGTTTCTCGGTTTCTACACATGCGGATCCCAGCTTGTACACGTCACAGCAACCTGAGAATTTGTTACAGCTATATTTGGACATAAACTAAGGTGTTCAGAGTAATTTGACTTGTTTTAGGGGTTTAGATCGACTTTCGGTAAAAATGACAACCCCAATGAACAAAGTGTTGTTATTTTTCGGGTCAATCAGAAATCCAATGTGGGCCCCACGGCTGCCATTTTGAAAACTATTACAAACTTGAAGTCAAGTTCTACTGGGCCGATTTAACTGAAACTTGGTAGGAATGATCGACTGATGGTCCTGACAAAGTGTTGTTATTTTTCGGGTTAATCAGAACCAATATGGTCACCACGGCAGCCATTTTGAAAAACTATTACAAACTTAAAGTCAAGTTCAACTGGACCTATTTAACTGAAACTTGGTAGGAATGATAAACTCATGGTCCTGACAAAGTGTAGTTATTTTTCAGGTCGATCAGAAATCCAATATGGCCGCCACGGCTGCCATTTTGAAAAACTATTTTAAACTTAAAGTTAAGATCTACTGGCCTTATTTATCTGAAACTTGGTAGGAATGATCGACTCTTGGTCCTGGCAAAATGTTTTTTTTTTTTGTCATGGCTGCCATTTTTGAAAAAAAAACTATTTAAAACTTAAGATCAAGTTCTAATAGGCCTACTTAACTGAAACTCGATCTAGGAATTATCAACTCATTGTCCTGACAAACTTAACTTAACGTTATACTTAACTATTTTTTTACTCAAATTTTGGTAGGGATGATTGAAATCATTATCTCTACTTCATATTTCAACAACAAAAATTAATACTGTAGGACTCAGGTGACCGTTAAGGCCCATGGGCCTCTTGTTTTAGTATTAATGAGGTTGATCCCGGCCTGTCCCACTGCAGGCGAAACCCGAGAGAAGTCCACTCTAGTTTCCATACTTTTGATTCGAATGCATATATTACCGTTGATCTTGTAGCTCAACTGGTTCAAGCAGCGACCGTATTTTGGTTTCGAATCCCTGCCTGTTCACGTTGTATTTTCACTCGCAGAACACTTGTTGATTATCTTTCTTTTTTCCATTTATTTATTTGATCTTCATTTTACATAAACGTCCTGCAGGACATAGGCTTCCTTTCAGAAATGATATAGTGAAGCTTTTTAAGCCGTTATTAAAGGTATTCAACTTACAGCTTAAGTTTTTATCAGTGACACGGGAAGCCCTGAAAACAACATAATATTTGCATCATTCCGATCATACCTAAAGTCAAAAAAACACGATGCTGCAATGCATATGGTGGCCATATTGGATTTAGGCTCCAAAATAACAAGTAGTTAAGATCATGTGCTCATCATTCCTACTCTCGAAAACTTCTGTCCGGTTAATAATGAAACTTTACACGCATACTGATGGACTTGAGTCATTGACAGTTCCTTTTCTGACCCTGCATCACAATGAGCAGACGCAACTTCTTATTGTTAAAAATACAACGAAATAACGCAATACGAATACGAAAGCTTTATTTAAATTCGGTGTAGTTACAAACGACAAAACATAAGCTCTAATGAGCTTTTAACCGAATAAAAATTTCCTTGATTCATATCTTTCTTTTAGGATTTTTACATGTGTTTGGTGCATGTAAGACATTCCTTGATCGACATCTGGCAGATGTAAATCACAAACTGTATTATGAAAAAGTTGTCTGTATGCTTTATTACGCGTGTAAAAAGTGCACATCTCTACAGACCACTCGCATCACGGCTGGTAGCCTTCAGATCACGCTCAGCACGTGCTGTCCTAGGTTATGAAATGGAACTTCTGTTTTCTCATTGAAGGGCAGTAAGACACAAGGACGAAGAAGCTAGTCCACCTGGGAACAGGCAAGATAAAAAGTTAAATATAGACACAATAGTGTCTTTGTTGTAGCAGACGATCGGGGTACTAATGTTGCGTAACCGTAAAAATTGCATTTGGGCAGTCTGAAACATATATTACCATACGGTAAGTAGGTATGCAGATCACATTAAGATTATTTCAGATATGAAACAAAACTTTAGTTTTTTGCACAGTAAATGTCAGTCGAGCTGTATTGAGTGGTTTTATTAGTGTATTTGGGTGCATCTGCTACTGTTACGAGTTGGCGCACGCTATTAAATCGTTATGTGGATCTTGGATCACTACTATACACACTCCATGGGCTCGGTACGTGGAAGTTTCTATACACACTCCATGAGCTCGGTACGTGGAAGTTTCTATACACACTCCATGGGACCAGTACGTGAAACTTTCTATACACACTCCATGGGCTCGGTACGTGGAAGTTTCTATACATACTCCATGGGACCAGTACGTGAAACTTTCTATACACACTCCATGGGACCAGTACGTGAAACTTTCTATACACAATCCAAGGGGCCGGTACGTGAAACTTTCTATACACACTCCATGGGACCAGTACGTGAAACTTTCTATATACACGCCATGGGCTCGGTACGTGGAAGTTTCTATACACACGCCATGGGATCGGCACGTAAAAGTTTCTATACACACGCCATGGGATCGGTACGTGAGAGTTTCTATATACACTCCATGGGATCGGTACGTGAAAGTTTCTATACACACGCCATGGGAACGGTACGTGAAACTTTCTATATACACGCCATGGGCTCGGTACGTGGAAGTTTCTATAAACACGCCACGGGATCGGTACGTGAAAGTTTCTATACACACGCCATTGGATCGGTACGTGAAAGTTTCTATACACACGCCATGGGATCGGTACGTAAAAGTTTCTATGCACACTCCATGGAATTGGTACGTGAAAGGTTTTTTTACACACTCCATGGGACCTGTACGTGAAACTTTCTATATACACGCCATGGGCTCGGTACGTGGAAGTTTCTATAAACACGCCACGGGATTTGTTCGTGAAAGTTTCTATACACACGCCATGGGATCGGTACGTACAAGTTTCTATACACACGCCACGGGCTCGGTACGTGACAGTTTCTATGCACACTCCATGGGATCGGTACGTAAAAGTTTTTATACACACTCCATGGGCTTAGTACGTGAAGGTTTCTATACACACGCCATGGGATCTGTACGTAAAAGTTTCCATACATACTCCATGGACTCGGTACGTGAAAGTTTCTATACATACTCAATGGGATCGGTACGTGAGAGTTTCTATACGCATGTCATGTGATCGGTACGTAAAAGTTTCTATGCACACTCCATGGGATCGGAACGTTTCTATGCACACTCCATGGGATTGGCACGTGAAAGTTTCTATAAATACGCCATGGGATCGGTACTTAAAAGCTTCTATACACACTCCATGGGCTCGGTACGTAAAAGTTTCTATACACACGCCATGGGATCGGTACGTGAGAGTTTCTATACGCATGTCATGTGATCGGTACGTAAAAGTTTCTATGCACACTCCATGGGATCGGAACGTTTCTATGCACACAGGTGTCACTGAAAAATCTAATGAAATTCACAGATTTATTTCCCGATATGAATGCCGTTAAGACCCCAATGAAATTCACCTTGATATGCATCATGAAAGATACATCGTCATGATATGCCGTGAAAACTATTCCATGAAAATTCCGTGGGAGGAAGTTCTGAAACTTATGAGCTCACACTGCTTTATCATTTCGTCCAAAATGACCATTATGCCAGTGTTTCCACCGTGCTAGTGGCTGATTCAGCCTAGTGATTCTAAGCTAGTTAATTACTTTAAGGGTAGTTTGTACTCAACGTAACATTGATAACTTCATATTCAGAGATACCCACCAACTTCCTGGTTTATGGAACTACAGAAGCAATAACCGACAAACTCTTTATTCTTTAAAAACATGTAACACCTTTAATACATTTTGAAGAAATTGTATTCATTCTCTAATAGTAAGAAAATCTAAAATTATCCTATTTTAAATTTTGTCATAATCATTGCTTTTGACAAGGGAAGTAAACCTCGGAATTTCATTATGAAGAACACCACGTGAAAAGGCAATTAATTATTTCATGGGGGTTTCCCGGATTTATTGATATCTACGGTCGCAATTTTACGATAGTGTAGTGTCTTCCACATGTTTATTTACTGGTTTCCTCTAGAATTTAAAATATATTCCTCCGGTCTATGAGTTTAGTGCACTTGTCCTTGATCTTATCTTATCAGCGTCCTATGTGATTTGCGAAGGTTTGTGCTGAACTTGACAATTTATATAGATTATGATTGTCTATATTGGTTAAACCTTACGTTTATTTAACTAGTATTATATTACAATAAATAGTTTAAACCACAGACGTCTGCATCTGTCCTGTAGATGAAAAGGTCTTTACCTGTACGACTTTATTGACAAGGTTTATAACTCCAAAACCCGGTGCTTTAAATAAGTGTTTATAATGATCGGTCTCATATGACTTGTAAGGTTTATCTACATTTTGTACCGTAAAAAGTTACAAAAAAAATCAGTTTATATGATAAATTCTATCATTTCCATGATGGATTTCATCTTGAACATGGTCTCATTTGATTTAACAAACAGTTGAGTGGTGAACTGTTGATAAGGCTCACTGAAAAAGGTTGATACGATTGTTGTTGACGGTCCCATGGAGTCAGAACGGAGCCTCGTATGATTTACTGCCTCGAGTGTGTTTGGTCATAATATGTTTGTTTTGTCAGCAGTGTACACTAAATAAAACCTCGGAGGTAGACAAGCACATCCGGTTGTGTTTTTCATGTTGTCAGGGAGATGTAACAGTACGCAAACATTCACAATGTCAAGTGGATATAAGGGATAAGAAAGGGCGACGCGATTGACCTATTATCAATTGTCTGTGGTGTCTCCCTCATAACTTCTATCAGTGGTGAATAAAGTTGCCAATTAATCCGTGTGGCAATGCAGCTCATTAATGTACGCATTTATTATTTACCGTTGTGTAATTTGGAGGCGCAATCAACCGTGTGTTTATCAAATTGCTATTATTGTGTTTCCTTTCTAGACGAGGATTTACAGTGCATGAATTTTACGAGATTGTCAACATCAAGGATATAAAACATTTCCCCTAACCCGACAGGTCCACACGACAAGGTCTCATAGTTACAAGGGGAAATGCATGGACATACTATCTTTATTGAACTATTCTAACTTCTGTTGTTTTGTGTTACCTCATAGTCCCCCTTTTCACTGACACGTTTACCTTTCCATGTTCACCAGTTCTAAATGTTTTAAATATTTTACCCTGACACCTTGACTGATGTTTGAATTATGGTGGAACATATAAACTAATTAACCAAGTCTGCTTCAGCCTTTGTTAGTTATTCATGGCAAACCATTTTAAACATACGTGTCGATCGCACCATCTTTTTTATTTAGTACTTATAAATTTAAATACTGGAATAATGTTGTTCTTTTTCGCGCGCAAACAATTGACACCCGATGCCTCGTTTCCTGGCTGCAGTAAGTGGCCATGTTGCGTCTGTTTACATGGATGTGTAGACGTGTTAGCTTTGACCTCACTGTACAACTACACACGACTCACTTGTATAACTCGTAGCATGGGGGACACCATCTGAAAGCAAAAAGACATGCACGTGCAAACATTATTGTCCAATAATGCATGGTCAGACAATAACAACGGCACGTGTCGTTATATCGCAAGGCGTGGTAGAATGGATAACATGCACACGTTTCACGAGTTTTCCTTAAGGGAACCAAAGATAATTCCTTAACTATTTTTTCCTTAATCATGCCATTAGAGTTTACAAGAAAAATCGTAGGTTACAGAAGTTTAATATATTTCTAATAATTAAACGATTTCGTGTAGCAAAGAAACGTGCGTGAAAATGAGCGAGGCTATGATATTCCACCTCGGCTAACTGTCATTCTGCTGTTGCGTCCCATCGCCTAGTAAAGCGAGTATAAACTCGATTCGTATTATGGTGTCTATCAGATTCAAAACACATACTATATATACGTGTACATTATCATATATTCACTTAATGTGTATATCTCATAGTGTGCGTGGAATATTTTACAACACCCACTGTGGGCCGCCAGAGGGGAAACGACATGTGACATTTTATTTACAATGCTTTATAGCGAGACAAAATCTTGATAGGTGCATGCATGCATACACAGGTACACTCCCTCTATAGCCAGATGGTATATATCTAAAATGCGTCCAAAATTTAATGGCCTCAAAATATGAATAATGGACTGAAAATCGTAATAAATGTATTTTTCATTGAATATAACTTATATTGAAATGTAGAAATGGTGATTATTCTGCACTGGTTAACCACTTTATTTACTCATTCATTGAAAGTAAAATGATATTAAGAAATCGAAGTCCTATGTCCATTAAAATTGACTTTCAATCAAGGATCCAATACAGTTTGTGATGGTCAATAGTACTACACACCTGTAATTGTCGAAAGAATGGCTACACATGATTGTCAATGATTTTACACACCTGTATTGATCAATAGTACAATTTTCAATTTCTTTATTTTCAAATGCAACAGATAGCATATAGGAGTTACAATATACATGTACATACAAGTAAATATTACAATCCATTTATGTAAAATGGCGGAGAACATAGAGTAAAATACAAGATGACATCATAGCAATGTTGACAACATACAAAAGAAAATATATAATCATACACGATTGCTCAGATATTAAGTACTACACACATGTAATGGTCAATAACGCTGCACCCCTTTAATTGTCAATGATGCTAAATACCTGTAATGGTCAATGGGGCTACACACCTGTGATTATCAATAGTGCTACACACCTGTAACGGTCAATATTGCTACACACCTGTAATGGTCAATATTGCTACACACCTTTAATGGTCAATAGTACTACACACCTGCAATGGTCAATATTGTCACACACATGTGAAGTGCAATATTACACGGTGGCAGTGTTGTTTAATGATACTACATAACTGGAGATGGCCGATCGTACTATAGAATTCTGGATGGGCAGACCGTGACATTAGGATGGTCAATATTACAGATCATATTATGATATTTAGTCCCCGCGCCACTGTGATGGTCAACACTGCAGATCATATTATGATATTCAGTCCTCGGGACATTGGATCAATCGCCTGGCGTATTGCCACGACCTTACCATTCTTGTATTATTCATGGACGCGTTGATACATGTCCCATGTTCACAGTCATTATATACTCATCACCCACCAGCGTAATTTATATGAAATGGACATTATAAGGTCATTAAGAGATTCCCTGGGTATGCAATACTAAGCCTGAAAGGCTACGACCTGTGTGTATGAAAGTCCTTAGAGTACTGTCACAAACACAATAATCTATAAGCCTTGTCCCCGTAAACATCCCTGTTTACTGTTAAAAAAGCAAACACAATATAAGATATAGTTTGATATGTATTTATCGAAATCATGCAGTCATTGAGCGTAATAATGCTAAATTCACATAATTAATCAACTAATTCCTCTGAAATTGCATGTATGTGATAACAATGAATCATTATTGAATAAAACACTGTTAGCTGAAACGGAAATATTGTGCTGATATAACGAACATATCATCTTGGTCCTGTGGAATTCGTCATAAACGTGTAACAATGTACTGATTTAAGGAACATATCATCTTGGTCATGTGGAATTCGTCATAAATGTGTAACAATGTACTGATTTAACGAACATATCATCTTGGTCCTGTGGAATTCGTCATAAACGTGTAACAATGTACTGATATAACGAATAGCTTATATTGGTCATATGGAATTCTCCTTATATGGATTGAAGGGACTTTTTAAACGCAATGGATTTCCGTGCACTCTGGTTTGGAAAACCAGTTCAATATATATCATATTTGTAATTTATAGTTATTAGTGATATATTATGCAAGCATTCCCTTAACTTTATGATAATATATATTCATGGCACAGCTTACGAAGATTTCACCTTATGGAACCCGAGAGGAAAAACGTTAAAATGACGCTGATCCCTTTCGTGTTCATGTTGTAATGGAAATTCAATTCACCTGGTGTTAAATGTTCAATCTTGTTGGTCGCAGCACAGTTGTAAATAAATCGAGCATATCACATCGGTCCTGTGGAATATGTTATAAACCAGACTGTATATTAGGTATGATTATGTCCGATTGACTCGATAAGAAGTGACGTAATTTTACACTGTGTGTTTCGCAGGTGTATAGACATGTTAGCGGTGGTCGATACTCACGGTACAAGATTTAAGTGTATATATATGATTAATGACTTCGATCCTACATGTCTCGTCATTGTAGTCGAACAGAGTATTTATATTCCTTTGTTATACTGCAGACAATTTATTGTAAGATATAGACCATAGTAATACTCTCACGTCCCTTGGTAATACCTGTTACACTGGACGACATCAGAAGGCGTTAGACATTTATATACACCTCATTGTAAAACTCTCTTTCGTGGTTCACTTCAAGTACTGTACTTAACAACGAAGGTCTCTGTCCCTTGCCTGCTTTCATTGCTGTCGGTTTTAGTGGGGTAGTTCTCAGTGTTCAATTACGTAGGAAAAATATTTTGTGAAAAGAACAATTGAGTTAAAGGAAATCCCATAAGCACATGTTTATGAGTATTTATAAACAATAAGCACTGTGTAAGGAGTATTTAAAGGTTAAACAATAAACAACTGTGGACAGTGCTAAGCTTGTGAGTACACATGCTACAAGACCCTACCACTGTTTACAATTTACAATAATTCAAACCGCGTAGCCAAACATTTCATGTAAGAGAGAGATGGAGGCATATTTGTTTCCATTTCGTCGCGACATAGCGAAATTTTAGATTAAAAAATGTTATTTCGTTAGTTTGTGGTACAATAACGAAACTTTGTTTGTCTCTGTAATCTATCTTGTTGCGTTACTTTGCAACAAAATAACGACATTTAGACCCACGGGACACAGCTTTATTGATTGTTTTCTTGTCTACATTTCATTATATTCAAGAGAATATATATATATAAAAAAAGACAAGAGTTAGATAAAAAAAAGAAGAAGACAAGAGTTTATATATAACAGAAGAAAGATGCACGGCCACACCAGGATTCGAACCCGGGACCCTCCAAACTCTAGACGGATGCTATACTAATTGAACTACTTGGTCGACGGCTATCCTTCCTCTTTCAACAAAATCGTCTTAAACGCAAGTGCATACATGACTATAAACATAACAATACTTTCACCGTCCGTATCAGGGAGCTGTATTATTTATTCTGTGTGCAAATTAAATGACTGTACGAGGCTCAAATATGGCGTCAAGAAATAGCCGTGTGCGAAAACACCAATTAAGGGAAATATTTGATTCGTTTCTCTGCAAAGCAATGATGCTATAGTTATAGTGGTATGCTGGTTTTATTTCTTTGAATGTTTGACTCAAAAAATCACGAAGAAATGTCGCAAGATGGCGACCGTTGTGTTGATGTAGAGGAATATTTGATTTAAGAAATAAACATATGTAATGGTACCTGCATAATATAAAACAACCCCCCCTCGTGTTAGAGTTTACCATAATATAAAACAACCCCCCCCCCTCGTGTTAGAGTTTACCATAATATAAAACAACCCTCCCTCGTGTTAGAGTTTACCATAATATAAAACAACCCTCCCTCGTGTTAGAGTTTACCATAATATAA